ATACAAAGCCTTGTTGCAAGTATATTGAGAATACTGTCATAGTTCCAGACCAACTCTATTAACCTCAGTAAATACAGAGGTGCCTTATTAGGCACAGTAAAGGTATAGTACAGGTTTGTAAACAGATATTTAAGGCATCTGGCAATGATGCAGGACATTTAGTGACTTACAGCCTCAGAATGTACTGCAGACAGAAGCAAACAAACAGCTAACGCACATAATTCCACTAAAAGGAACAAAACAAAGAGGCAACAAATGCACATATGAGACTGGTTTCGGTGCTCAGTGATGCAGAGATGGCCCCCTCAGTGCCACCGTCACAGAGTATCTTTCCAGAATAGAACATCCTTTTTCTAAGAGAATCTGTAATTAGCTGGAAAATAGCTTGCTACTTAATGTACATAATTACTGTCCAGTGTGCAGGTTAAAGCACCTGGAGCAGCTCACACAAGTAACCACTAGCATTTTTATTATACAGATATTCCTGCAGATAGATAAAGTCATCTATTTAAATCCTGAACTAAGGCAATCCCACACTATGATAAAATAAGAAAGGAAGAGAACATGAAGTGCCAGCAAAATATAACTAATATCCCCATCATAAAACTAATCAGGCAACTGAACTCATTCTAATATGCAGCAAGATTAAGATTTAAGATACAAGAAGACAGCAGAATAATATCTTCTCCTTACTTTAAAAAAAGGAGCAAAGTCAGAATAGCTCATAATTTTTCACATATTTGATACATCAAGGTAATAGGATTTCTTTTTTTTTTTTTTAATCAGAACAAGTTCCAAGTTTTTTTACAAATTGTCATTCATAGACTGAAACCAAATGTGCTGTCTTCTTTCCAAGCATCCCACAACTGGAGATGAGATTTGCATTTAAGCACTTCATAAAATAATGTTTAAATGCCACAGTTTGCAACAAAATATTAACTTCTGATTCTTTTATTTGTAACAGAAGTTGAAATCATATTCCCACAGAATCAGTAAGAGTTTTGTTACCAAGTTCTGAAGGTAAATTTGAACGTTGCTCCTTCGGGAATATCTCACTGTGCAAATTATCATATATGAGGCCTCTCCCAGGCAATGAGACACTCGACTACCTTCAGTTTGGGAAATGGAGCATGTTACACGATGTGAAAGAACACCACATGGGAAGAGTTCAGCACAAAGGGTTGGCTCTTTGCACTTAAACCGACTGAGCAAGTTGATCACAGGTCTCTCCAATAGAACGACCCATGTAGCTCAGCTCCTTCTTGGCCTATAACATCTCTTAAAAAGAGATCCTGGTAAGTAAAAGAAAGAAGATAAACAGATTGTACAAGAACCTTAAAGAGAAATGGGAAAAGTTCACTTGAGATTGCATAAATTTAAAAAAAATAATAATCCTTAGAAGCACTGGCAGTAGAACACAACAGCAAGTTAAGTGAAGCAATGGAGCTGCTGTTACAGATTTCCTACATCGCACTCTGATGCTCTTCAGAGATCAAGCAGACATTCAGCACAAAGAACTCACTGCTACTCCAGCAAGGTTTTATCCTGCAAGAAGCAGATGTGGCTTTCACAGAACCTGTATGACACAACTGAAATGACCCATGGCAGTTTAATGCCAGCAGCACTTCTGGGTGCATCCCCTGTGCCCCTCAGTTCCCAAGTATTGACAGCAACCATTAACCATCCTCTCTAAGGACTCCTCAGCTGAACAAAGCATGGCTATAACCTGTAAAAAACTGCTGAAGTGCTGGATGAACACAAATGAACATATTACAGTGAGAAGACCATGTCCTGGCACATGGATTTATCCACCATGTACATGCATTATTAACCAGTATCATTGGGTCGCAGTAGTGCATCCCATCCTCTAAGAAACCAGGGACTGCCAGGTAAGGTACAGCATCCAAAGGGCTGCATGCAAGGAACAAAATTCCCAACAGCATACTAGCAGGGAAACAGTAGGGGAAAAAAAAAATGTAGGAAACAGAAATAGCCAAGAAATAAAATAGATTTAGAGAGCTTTCTTTATAAATCACATATGGTTTCTATTCCCTGTAACTCAGTTGCATGAAAGCTTTCCTTCCTATTAGCAAAAGGTTTATAATACACAAAAGTTTTATTATATGAACAAGAACCATATTCCTCAAACACTGCCAAATTTGAGTCCCAAGAGGCAGCTTGACATTAATCATCTGTTCAACACTACATATGTTTCAGACCATCTCTTACCAGCCTGTCCACTTCTGGTTTTCCCATATTTTACATTCCTAATATTGTGGCCTTCCACAAAATGCCAACCTTTTTTTTTTCTTTTTGGGTACTATCATTTGTACAGCTGACTTGCTATTAAAGGGCTAAAGAAAAGTTCAGGGGTTTTTCTAGCAGCTGGGATCTCTCTTTTTTTTCACTCACAGGAACAGTTATAGCAGTAACAGGTTAATCTCCTGGACAGTCTCAAGATCAACACCTGCTCCTCAAACAAAACCGACTTTATTAAGATTTTAAGCTTAAAAGCTACTGGAACCAAGGACACAGTTACCAGATCTGGCCATGAATGACTAAGTTGTGGAAAGCGAAAGTGACCACACAAGGGTTACAAAAACCCTGAAATACAAAAAGTACAAGCATCTTGGCTATTAAATTAAAAAAGTGGAAGATTAGGGGAAACTAAAAAATAATCCAGTTTTAAGCAAAACAGAAGAATCCAGGTAAACCATAAAAAAATAAAAATTCCCCACACATTCAAGAGTTTAAACTAGAGACAAACGGCATTTATTTCTCAGAAAACACCCATTTTTTAACTAAAACTTTTCTTTCCTAACTAGTGACAGACCAGGCTGCTCTCTGAATCATACTGTGCTGTCATTTGTTGACAAGAAAGGCTGAAAATTGACATTAGAAACAGTTCTAGCAAAACAACAATATATTCCCACTGTGACAAGCTGCAGGAAGCAAGACTCAGTTTCAGAATTGATTGTTCCCTGTAGCATGCCATGAAAAACAGGTTTTCTATGTTTTTGCAATGCTTTTACTCAACATTCATAGCAGGAGACTGGCTTGCTGACTACCAAAAGAAAACCTATGTGAAGAAAGAATTGTTAGCTGTAAATATCTCAGGAGAAAATGAAAAAGCAAAGCATTAACAACTTAAAGCCCAGTGACAATGAACACACAGGAACAGAATAATAAGATGTCAATGAAAAGCTTTTCAAAACTTACTTCGACCTTCTAACCATCAAATTGTGAAGTAATTCTCCAGCAAGAGTAGCAGGAATATACAATCCTAAGTAGTCTTAGGATGCTTGGAAAACTTTCAAGAGCACTTAAACAACAGCACGTTAAATAAAGCAGCAGACAAGACTCACACAGGTTTCTTCCAGTCCAATGAAGCCGTCTTAGGTTTCAGGTAAGTTTTGTCCCAGCTTTATACGGAAGTACTAAAAGTACAAAGTCCTTCCTGCTGACGAGGGATGAAGAACCACACTTCAGAAGGCCTGGTAACCATTAATTAAACCAGTAAAAAGCCAGACTGGTATAAGAAATTAATTTAGAAGGGTTGTAATATCAGGACAACTCTTTTTGCTAGCATTTACAGCTCTAATAAAATTACCTCTTGAACAAGAGGTACAGAGTTTCCAGACAGAATATAAGGAGGGACTGGGATCTCTTCACTGATCTTTTCGAGATGCAAGACTCAGCACGTTCTCCCAAATTCTGAGATGGCTGCACAGCTCTCCATGGCAACCCAGGATACATGAACCATGCAGTCGCCGGCAAGAATCTACCAGGAATAGCACATTCAGCTCGAAAAGCTTTTCAAGGAGAAAAAAAAAAGGCCACAACTTGAAGGCGGGGGTAAAAATTTACGTCTTTACAGCTGGGCCAATAAAGGGATAAAAAAAATAACTGATTTACTCTGCTGCTCTATTGAAAAAAGTGAAGGAGCGAAAGCAAAAGGGGAGGAACTGCACCAACAAGAGCTACAGTCTAGTGGATAAACGAGACTAGGTCTGGCATAACTATGGACTTCAGACATGCCACAACACAGCGCTCAACTCAAACCCGCGCGGAGTTCAGAGCTCCCCCTTCCCCTGTGCCCCTCTCCCTGGGTGAGCTGAGCCCCCGGTTCCGCTTCCACGAACAGCCAGCCCGTTCTGCTCTCGCCCTTCGGATTTCTATTTTCCATTCATCACCTACATCCGCCTCGAGCTCCCTGCTGAGTCCCGGTTCCCTCCGGACGACACCCGGGCGGTGTGTCTCTCTCTCTCTCTCTTCCTCCCCGCGGCGCAGAACCCACCCGGGGCCCGGCTGCTCCGCCGCCTCCTCCTCCTCCTGCCTTTGTTCCTTTGTTCCCGCGTGTTTTGTTCCTGCCTTTGTGTCCCCCCTGTGCGGGACGGGACGCGTTGCGAAGGTACCGGCGGCTCCTCAGGGGCCGGCGGGGACTCTGAGGGGACGGGGGTGGTGTGGGGGGGGCGTCCCTGAGGGGCGCGGCGCTCAACGGCCGGAGGGCGCGGCCACCGCGTCATTCGCACGGGCCAATGGGGAGGCGGCGGGGCCTTTCCAGGGGGCGGGGCGTGCCCGAGGGGCGGGGCGGCAGGAGGTACCTCCTGCCGCCCCGCCCCTCGGGCACGCCCCGCCCCCCCGGGAGGCCCCGCCCCTCTCCTAGTGCTCTTTGGATGGAGATGCTTCGGAGCGGTGAGAGGAAGGGTAGGAAAGGGTGCCAGGGGGGTTTGTGTTTGGGGTTTTTGAACACGATACCACTGAGGGGCCCTGTGGCCAAGTTGTTTTTTTTTTGTCTATGCGACTGCGGCAGGGTTACCGAGCCAAGGGCAGGTACACCTGGCCCTAAGCTCAGTTCCAGAGTTAAGAGTAGCGCAAACACGGAAACATCCCCGGCCAGAGGATGGTTCTGAAAAAAGCTACAGTAGGTAGATAAGTAGATATTAAGCATAGAGATAGCTAGATGTTATTCTTGTGTATTTAAGTATAAAATAATTGTTACTCATACATTTCCAGATTTTGATCCGTGCAGTAATAAAAGCTCTGTCCCAAACTGGCGAAACAATGGCACTTACATTCTAAATAAACTGGGTATGGAGACTACACAGCAGTGCAAACAGGCAGACTGGATGAAAAGCCACATGAATTATTCATTTTCAGATGCATTGAGCTGTAGCACAGGTGGAACTGAGGAGGAACAAGATGACTTTTTTTGTGATGGAGATGTAGAAATAACACATAAATATAATAATAATTTATATCATTTGAATGACTGTATATGTACAAAAGATATTTCTGGTATTCTAAACCTAACCTGTTCTGAAGATAACAAATGCACAACAGCAAATGATGCAGCTCATCCACAGCCTGAAGAGTTCTCCAGTGACCACAGAGGCACCAAAGGAACAACGGGAGTTTCAGCTGAACTGCCTGGAAGTGAAGCTTCCTTTAAGAAGGAATTCCCTGTCGGCAATTCCAGTAAACCAGACAGCAAAGAACATTTAACTACCTCAAAGATGTCCAGTGTCCTCCTGCGTCATTTTTCTGAGGGAGAGTTACTGAGCACCTGCCAGTTCATTGAATGTGAGACGATACCAGAGACGTCCTTCACCGACAGTATCGATGACACTGGGAGCAAACCTGAGCCTTCAGAACACCTCCCAGGCCCTTCAGAGCAGGAACAGTGGGCAACTACCTTTGAAGAGCATCACTCAGAAAAGCACAGAGAGGGAAACTCCAGTGGTGAAAATGAAAACGTGTTCAGTGACAATAGACCTGTTTCAAAGAAACCTGTTTCTTGCACTTGTAACTGTGGGTGCAGGCAAGAAAATTCACAGCTGATTAATGAGCATGAACATACATACACCTTTCAAAACATGAAAGATGAGAGAGGCCTGTTTAAGAAAACAGTTTCACCTTGCAAGCTTCAATATGGCCAAGGTCATGCTCACTATTGCCTGCCTCATTTCTATGAAGTTGCTTCAGAAGTAAAAGTACCAAAAAGAACTGACAGTATTAACTCAGTTGCTACAACTGGGAGAGAAAAACCCTTCCCTATTTTGCTAAGTAAATCAGTAACTGTGAACAACGTGCTGGAAAATAAGAATTACTTCAATTCTGCTGAAGCAGAGAATCAAGAAGAAATGAGCATTTCAGAACTGCTGCAACAGCTAAAGGTAATTAAGATGCTTGAAGAAATTCTTCATATTTGATGAGTGGTTTATTGTAAGAAGATACTCTGTGTTCCATAAAATCTAACATGACTAGTTCAAGGAGGCAGTACATAGCTTGAATCAAAAACTGCTTTCACAAATAAAATTTAGTGGGACTGCCTTTATACGGAAATTTCATTACTAAGTATTTAATGACTAAGTATTATTTAATACTCTAGTATTTAACACTGGAGTATCATTTATGATGATAAAGCATCCCATCAAATCGGTAGTACAAATTTTCACTCCTAGTGCTATATGTAAATGTTTAAATTCACCAAAATACTTCAATGTATTTTTAAGAAAAAGTTTCTAATTTTATACTGTGCCTGTATTAAGAAAACTTTGGCCTTTTTTTAGCCTCTTAAGGCTCTTCAACTATTTAAACTGGTATTCTTTTTAAAAGATTTGTTTGACAACAATATTTCCTTTGTCGTAAATTTATTTTAGAGTAATAATTAGATAATCACTGCTCAATTTCATGCCCCGACATGGAATTCTCTCACAGAGCTCTATGAATTTCAAGTCCATTCCTAGATTTAGAATTAGTAAATCACTCAAGATGTAACAAGTTGTAATAGTTTTCCCTATTATTTCCTGGCTGCAAATGAGATGCTGACACAGCATGCTGACACCCAGAATCATATTGATCACTTGAGATTTAATCCCAAGGTAAATCTCTCAAAATACTTTTTTTTTTTTAAAGTCATTCTTCTTTATCTCTAGGATTGACTATCCCCTGAAACTATTTTGTCACCTTCATGTTGTGCTTCCCATTTATACAAATCCTCTTTATATTTTCACAATGTAAAACTGAAGTATTTAAGTATTTATACAGTAAGATACTATATACATCTAACATGGTGTTTTGAGTTATTCTAAGTTTGTTGTTTATATAACTGTTCTATACATTATATCTTTAACAGATACTTCCTCAGTCAGACTTTCCAAATGCCAGCACTGCCCTTTCCTCAGGAGACACTGGGACAGCACGTGCCATCATCACAGTAGATGCTCCCATCCCTGTACAATCTACACATGGTTTGCTTAAAGCAAGTAAATGAAATTAACTATGCAAATGACTGTTTTATATAACTTGGTTACACTTTTGGGCAGATATTTCAATGATCAATCCTATCTTGTATCACACAGGATTGTGGTCTGGAACAGCAGCATCAGCATTACCAGCAGCTGGGATGGTAGAGGGACAGTGTCCAAATCCTTCTAATTCACTGCCAGAACTAACCCTAGGAGAAAAGATGTCTCAAATACTAAAGGACCAGACAGATCAACTGACAAAGAAAGTAAGAGCTCTGTTTCAATATGTGCTTGGCACTGATACTCAAATTCCATATTCATTTGGCACATTTGTTTTCAAAATCCCAAATAAAAGTCTAATATTTTGTCTTTAAGGTAGAAGAGTTCTCTACGCATATGACCCAAGAAACATTCTTTTTACAAGACAAATATCTGGTAAATGAATTTACATATTTTGACTTATCTGAAATGCACTTTAAATGGCTGTAGACTTACAGTTGTCTGGCAAGTTGTTCATGTTCTCCTCATATGAATGTTTACTCTTTTCTTCAATATAGACCAAAGGTACAAATTTAAGAAGCAAAAATGAAGGTGTTCAGTAGGTGGTTGAATTCTTTAATCTGTTTTAAGGATTACAATTCAAAACTATTAACGAAAGGCTTTAAGTTGCCCTGTAAGTTAGGAATTTTGACATGTAGGGGATCAGTTCAGAAGCCATGGTTTAATATTTTACTTGTACATGAATAGAGCAGCACAGAGTACCAGGTGATCATAGAATATGCAGTCCTGTTCCAATTCAGGGAATTATCAAAATTCTTACCACCAGCACTGCAAACAGCATCTGGCTCACACAGCAAGCCACAGTGATAGCTACTTATGCTAAATGATAGTGACATTTGCTATTGAATTCTTTCTTATTGATGAAGGCATTAAATCAACTGAAAAGATACCTTGATGCCTTGGAAAGGAATTACTTAACAGCTAGAGAAAAGCACCGTAACTTACAGCTGCAGAACTTCAAGGACAAGTCTGTCAACATTGGAGAATTTGATCCTGACAGGTTAGAAGATAAGTGCTAAGTAGTACATCAGTATATTTTCCATATTTTGAGTGTCTTATAACTTTTACTTCATTTATCCATTAGAATTTTTCTGAAGTAAAAACATTATATGTGGTAAGCTAAAAGTGATTTGACCAAAATTCATCTTGGGCTTCATATATCCTACTTATAATTAGGATATCTATTTAATTAAATTCAAATACTTAAAAGGGACTCAATGAACTCCATTAATTTTATTTTTTTCCCTATGAGAAACATACTGCAGTGTCCTATATCTTAGTAAGAAATAAAAGGTCAGTTTATACAGGTTTAACTAACTGTGTATTGCCATTGGATTTAGAAGGGTGGAAGGGGGAATATTTAGACTTGGCATGCTGCTTGAAGACATTCAGGAACAAATGGATCACAGCAAACACAGCCTGGCATCTTTGCTGACTTCCTACGAATCTGCCCCTTCATCACATTCTTTTTGTGAGGTAACTGAGTTTTATTATTTAAAGACTCTAATTTTTCTGTTTTATTGATGCAGGTCTCGAGAACATAAGTGTGGTTGTACAACTGTATGTTCTCCTCTAATAAGAGCACGATGCTTTTAGATGGTACATTACTTCACAGAAAATATTTTATAAAATATTAACTTCATAATATTTCATTAACTCTAACAGAAACCTAAGTATAAAAACACTGCTACACTGAATATTCTTAATTCCAGTTTCCAAAGCAGTTATTTCAGAGTAAGAAAATATAAGCAGCTACTTTGACTTCTACAAAGCTGTCTTTGTTTGGGGGAATGAATCAATTCCCACTATCATTTAGTAGGAAGAAATATTACTTTGTATGTCCAAGATTTTTAAGCTGCAGAATTACTAAAAGACCAAACAGTATTGTGCTAAAAAAACCTGAGTTTTCTGCTAAGTATAGTAATATTTTATCCCAGATCATAAATACACACAGACATAAAATCTTACTGCCTCCTACAGATCTACAGGTAAGTCTCACCCAGTGCTTTCATGATCGGCATTTTACGTAACGTTTTCCTCTGAAGTCACCTGCTTGGAGTGCAGTGACCACATGCACCTGTACCTGTCTGGGGTTATTTTGTACAGAGCTCAGTGCTTTCAAGCATTGCTGATCCTGCAGAAAGAAGAGGTACAGAAACTCAATTTCTTCACAAGAACCATGAGGGAGAAAAGAGTCTGACAACTGATGTAATCCCAGAGACAAATCAACTTTATTTGGAAGGCAAAAAGTGCTATTTTTGTCCTCACATGTAAGTGAAAACTTGAAAACAGCTGTTGAAGTTTTTATAAAAATTTGCTACATTTACCTACAATTATTTGCTGAGTAAGAAAATTGGAATGACTGGAATCTCTGAAAGCAGCAAGAACATTTCCAGAATAAAACTTGCACAGAATTCTGAAATTAAATACCCAGGAATTCCTCCCATTCCTCCTTCCCTGGCATTCCTACCTTTCTGAGTCTGAAATTATCTCCTGAAACCAAAATACTATTCTTTCACCTAGAGTTAAGTCATACTTCTGTATAAAATTCATTACAGCCACACAAATTCAGGATGTGAATGACCAGTCAAAGCATCTCAATGAAATTAGAAAAACAAAATAAATTGTTTCCCTTTAACCAATCTAAGGTTAAAAAACAAGAGCTGCATTAAGTTCCAGAAAAGCAGCAGAGCTGCTGGGAAAGGAAGGTCTGCTTGCAAACAAGCATTCTTCTAAAATAATGGTAGATCTCTTTTTATACTTTTTTTTTTCCAACTTGGATTATGTTACTGAGTTTTTAGAGTGCACAACATTTTCCCTCCAGCTTTTGAGCTACTACAGCTTATCATCACACTGCTGAGCTGGTTTACACAGGAGAAATTTCAGGATTCTCAAACATTTTTGAAATCTGTGATAAAGTCTGCTGCTCTCAGGAAAGATTTAACTGTGTTTACTAACCTGCCTCTTGTATTTTTCAGAGAACAAAAACCTACAAGCAAATGCTTGCCTACAAAAAATAAGTAATTGAGAGAAAATAATGAATATATGTTAATACTTTCAAAGCAACATGGAGTTTGGAATTTTGGCAAATTAAATCTCTATGCAAAGCTAGATCTTACAATACATGCAGCACAGAACACAATCATGCTAATCTGAATATTCCATCAGATTACTTCACAGGGTAGATGTTAATATTTGTCTACTGAAACTCACCTAGCTTCCACTTTTTTCTCTGTCATTGAAAGAAAGCTCAATCTTCTCATCATTATGTTCATGAATGGGTGAACAACTTTCCAAATAAATCTGATCATTCTGTACACCCTAAGTTGAAAATAGACATCAAATAACTCAAATAAGGAACTTTGTTCTTGTCCTGTCAGAAGGTACATCTCAAATACTCCTCTAATTATCTAAAGGCAGTGCTATTAAAGCCTTAATAACTCAAAGTTACTAAGAAATCAAATCCAGTTTGACATATGTTTTAGCAAAATACTATCAATGGTAACACGTATAAATATGTAAGATTTCATACAACTTTACTATTTGAATATATGATTATCAAGATGTCTACTTTAAGAATTTTTAACAGCTGTATTAAGTCAGAATGTGTGCTTTAACTAAAGAGGTCATTTTTTTGCAATTGGTTTATTATTCCTTTAAAGTTCTACTTACCACCTTTTCAGATAACTGATAAGAGTTCTCTCTGTGAATAAATCTGATTTCTTCTCAACTAAGGAATGCTTAACTATTAACATAAAATGCTTCTAAGTCTCACCATTGACGTATTCAGATACAATTAAAATATCATTCTGTTTCCATGCTCAAAGAAATATAAACATCCAGGAAAGAAAAACTGGAACATCTTCACTCTTCAGTCAGAGAAGACCAACTGATTTATCAGATACCAACCTGAGTAAGTCGTGATGGCACACAAAGGTCAGAACTGTGCTTAAACCTGCTAGTGAATCCTGTTAAGAAATACATTCTATCACATCTCAGCTATGTGAAAACTGTACTTCTAACAGATGTTACTGCTTAGCACAGCACAAAACACTAAGAGTAAAAAGGAGACTGAAGGAAACACCAAGTCAAATTCACTGTGGAAGTCTCAGTGACAGACCAAGAGACAACAGACAAGTTGCAAGGATAAGCTGCAAGGCAATTTTCAGTTAGATAAGAGGAAAAAAAAATTTTAAGTTGGGGTCTAGTCAAACATTGAAACAGTTTGCCCTGAAGGGGCTGTGGTATCTCCATTCTCAGAGATATTAAACTCAGCTGGGCAGGGTCCTAAGCAACTTCACCGAAGTTGGTCCTGCTTTGAGAGGCAACAGGGCCAGATGATCTCCAGAAGTCCTATCCAACCTGAACTAGTCTATAAATCTAATTCAGCTTTCTAGAGAAGTTTCCAAATATTGCCAGTATTACCAATTTTAAAGCATGACAGTGATATGCACACAATGCTTTGGTTTTAATTCTGATGTACTTTTATTTCATGTCCTAGAAGAAGATTCCAAACTTGACAACTGAAACACTTCATATCAGCACTTCCAGTTTTTTGATTCAGCTTTCTTATTCTGCATGAAAACAGTGCAAAAAGTTTTGCTCGGTTTTGATCCAGTCAGGGTTGACACAGACAAGAAATACTCTCCCCTTCCTTAGTCCAGCTCCTAATAATGCAATTCCATCAAACCCAAACTAGACCCCACAGAGGCGACTATGAGCTAGTTAAGTCAGTTGTTGTGTCATCCAAGACTTCAGCTCTTGGAGGCTTACTAGGAATCTGTAGGCATTTGTCTCTCTTGGGCATCCCAATTTTATCTTCCCACTGCAGAATATTCTGAAGGTGTTAGTACCTAACAACTAAAGAAGAACAGCATGAGCTGCCCTAGATTCACTTCTAAGTCTCAATATATGGGTTATTCTTATCTTTGGTCTATTTGTTGTCCTTGGCTTCTTTGTGATATGCTTGCACTTTAAAATAAGACACTGGGACCAGTATTGTTAGGACTGGTTTGTGCAATAGTTAAAGCAGAGTTGGACTAGAGCTGCCCAAATTCTCATCACATTTCTATTAGGCTGCACTGTTTACACAACACTATGCACAGGAAGATGGAGAGCCTCATTAAAAAAAAAAAAAAAAAAAAAACAGTTCTTGGTCTGAAAATAACCACCACCAAAAAATAATAAAAATCTATATTCAAGGCTTACAGTCAGGGCTGAAAGCCAATCTCTAAAGCTCAATTCCCACACTCCTGTAAGATGGAGGAAAAAGTACTTCCTCAAATTGCAGTAGCATTAATGGCAGCAAAGGGCTCTGAAATTATGGTGCTGAAAGCCAAGTAATTATCTGGGTACATTAGCCAAAGTTTCTAATTTTTCAGAACCTTTTAACTTATTTTTTGATTTTAGGCAGTGATTCAGAAGACATCTCAGCCTACGATTCTTATAGTGATTCACAAGGAAAGGACCTTGTCAACTGTGACATTCAGAATTACAAATCGTTAAGTACGAGATTATGTGGAGAGAGAAAAGGTATAATGATTGCAAAAATATTAACATCTACAATGAAACACGGCTTAGAGTGTTTGTTTTTCTAAACAACGTGTCTCTGTTTTCAGGACTCGGGTGCAGATGCCCCAGGGGAAGCAGAGATCAAGTTAAACTCAGGAATTACAAAGAGTCTATTCAGTCTTGTGCTCTATGTAGAAATAAAAGTTCTGGTTCATGCTGTAAGTATGATGTGTTACTGAAATAATTACCAACCACAGGCTAGATTTTAAGGGGCAAAAGGCCCCACTGCACATATCAGGCTAGATTTTATTTAGTATAAGCAATCATTAGCATTGTAGTTAAAACAGTGGGTTTTTATAGACCTTGTAGAGCAAAATCAGGAAATCCAACTTTTACACACCTGCCCAGGTTTAAGCCCTGTGCACAACACCTTTAACCTTCTCCGGTTCTTTATGAGAGGAGTCCCCTTCATATTTCATTCATGGCAGGAATATCTCATTTTGCAGTGCCACGGGAAAGAATATGAAAACTGGGCATTACTGTGCCAGCTTTTACAGTGCCAGCCATTGCCTATCGCAGTGTCAACAAGCACTACAGAAAATTCCAGTTCTACACTCCTCATGTGACATGCAGCAAAGTCAAGGAAAGACTAATGAAAAAAAAAAAATTTGAAATGTTTAGCATCTGCTTTTCAAAGTCACTTATCTCAGACTTTCTACCATAAGAAAAACTTGCTTCAAGAAAAATATAAATTTCAACAGTCAGAAGAAAGTATAAGTTAGCTACTTGTCTCTAGCAATTCTGTGAAACTGTAAAAATCAAAGCAGTACTCATGTAATTAGTAGGATTATGAGAGTCTGATTATTCTACACCTCCCCCCCACAGTCTTTCACTGTATGAAATGGCAATCTGCATACCATTTGCCAGAGTTAAATTCAACAGCAAACACAGAAAGGTTAATCTGTCCTCATTTCCAAAAAATGTAAACATATTCAAGTTTTATTCATCAGTGATAGTTTACTTGATCTTTTATTTATGCTAAATAGAAAAAAATGTTAAATACACAGAAAATTACCTTTTTTTTTTTTTTTCTTGTTTTAAACATGGCCTCTGTGACTCCAGCTTATTCACAGAAAAGAATCTGCACAAGAAAGGCTCAAAAAAATAAACAGCCACGTGAACCTGTAAACAGACTTTCTGAAAGGTAAGCTGTAGCAATAGTTACATAATACATAAAAAAATACCATTGTTGAAGATTCAGCAGGGAAAAAATATAGCAGTATTATAGGCAGGAATGATGTTTTATCTTTTGCAGTGCATGTTGTAAATTTTACTCAGTAACAAATTTAAAATCTTTACTCTAAGAACATGTGGAAATAGTCCTTAGGATAGTTCTTTACTTTTTCTAAGTTAATGAACAGTAAACATATAACTTCTTTATCTGGCACATTTAGTAATGAAAAGAAATATTTCATTTTATTAAGAGGATGTTCCCATTCACAGATTCAAAAGCAGGTCTTTATTATTAGGATACAGTACTGTTTGCTGCCAACTATTTCTCTGTAAGTAACAGTCCTACTTTTAATTGTTGTTAACATTAAATAATTCTGGGAGACTGAGAAGTAAAATGCATTCTTAACTGTGGCACAGAAAGAAATGCAGAGAGGTTTTGTTCCCATGTTTTTGGACAGCATTACTCAACAGCAGGAATGACCTGGAAGTGCAGCAGCTGCTGGTGAGAATCAGTGGCACAGACCCCCTGTGGGAGAGAGCAGCACCAGGAGAGTGATGCTGTTATGGGAGATTTCCTTTCTCTGCATCCTGGCATGTCTTCTGTCTTACTGCAGCAGAGAAGGAACACAAATAATGATGGACTGTGTCTTACAGTTAGATGGACAGTTCTACTCACTGTAAAATTAACTTGCAAACCGGTGTGCTATCGAGGTGTGTGCATTTAATTCAGAGTTTTTAGAAATTCTTTTGCTTACTGAAATTGTTTGTGTTTTATTCTCTATATCTTCTCTTTAGGGAATCCTTTGAGGCTGCCAAAACCTGCTGTTCAAGCACATGCAATAAAATTCTTGTTTCACATCAGTACATCCCCAGCAAGAAGTTTGCCCAAAGCAAATTTGCAATCAGAAACGCCAATGATGCCAATGCAAATGTAAGACTTGAGAGTGAAAATTAAAAGCCACACAACTATCTTGGAAAGGTTAAATCCCCACATCAAGGCACTATTGAGCATCCCTTTCTTAGAAAGCTGATTATTACAATCTAAGCAAATCTAGACCATTTGAGGATAAGACTGTATGGAGTTAAAAACCCAAGCATTTTAGCTTATATATTAGAATATAATTTAATGTAAGTATGTCCACACTTTTTATGCAACTTAGTCCCTGTATGAATGATGAGGACAGCACTGGATCTTACCTCTGAAGTGGTTTCACATACTGAAAGAGTGTCAACACCTAGCCATGCAAACCACTATCACAACCACAAGAAAGCCGCCTCAATACCACAAATATGCAAAACACTGGCCCTGCTACTTTAGAAAGGTGTAAATATCCCTCAGTTCCAATGATTACACAGTCAAAGAGAAATAAGTAACAGATACTTCCAGCTTGAATCCTGGAGCAGTCTTATCACGTGACTCAGCTTCTACTTCTCAACATGTATTCAGAGTGAAAATCATGCACAGAACCTTAACATCACCTTCTATTCTATACCTATGTATGCATTTGCCTTCACTGTTAACAAGGCTACATTTTATTATTTCCAACAGATTTTAAGTAACACTCTGGACCATGCCTTACAGACAGCAAACAGTCTGAAGAAAGCCACAGAACGAATGGTGCGAGCAGTTTCGGCAGATCTAGCTCAGGTCAAAAGGAAACAGCTTTAGTTACCCCGTTTCAAATGCTGTGTTGTTTTGTTGGTTGATACTGAAGTGTGAGGATCTCTGCAAATGTAAAGTGATGAATACAAATAACCAAAAAGTCAGCTTTGTCAGCTGTTCCGTAACTGTTAGTATTAAACCACACCAGAGCATAAAGGTATTCCACAAGTTTATGCTCAGTCTCAGAACTCTAAAACAAATTACTAATTCTACTGGAAGTTTTTAGTAGGTTGGCTAAAGGTACCTTTCTCTAAGTATCCATTGCTGTGTACAAGTACCTTTCTCTAAGTATCCACCTAAGGTAGCTTAATAAAAATTGGCTGAAACAAAGAAAATTAAATTTCTGACTTTGATTCCCCCATGCTCCCAAGTGTGAGAATAAACCTCAATCATTATTAGATATAATTTCTTCCCACATTTTAACAGCAGCTGCTTAAACACACCAAAACAGCGTCTGGACCTGAGATATGTACCTGCAAACATCACACTAACATACCAAGTAATAGTTAACATTTGCAATTATTTTAGTTTTACAGTGCTCTACACAGAGTTGTTTGTTTTTATAGTTACAAGCTAGAATTCAGAAAAACAATACAGGTATTTCTGCTAATTTTTTTAAAGTTTTGATACACATGGTTTTAAATTTTAGAATGTTGTTCCTGTATTGATATTGAAAAACAAGTCAAAATACATTCAATTTCTAACTCATTCAGGTGCATTTGAAAGATAGAGCCACTTATTCTTACCATGCTACATGTCCTGCAACATCTTAGAATGTCAACTTCTCACCTTTCATTCCTCTCTGATGTAGGGGTGGAACTTAAGCTTTTTCCACCTTCTAATTACTCCAAATGATCTTACCTAGCAAAAATATTCTCTTAACCTACTAGTTAACCTTAGAGCAAAATAAAGGGAAAAGAAACAAATCCACTTTATGCAAAACAGGAAGTTAATGCCTTTATGGTTGGGAAAAATGTAAATAAAAAACACATGAGGAATCAGTTATTTTTCATTATGACATTTCTCTCAGTTTCTACATACAACAAACTAACATTTCAAGGCACATAAATACAACATCCCTTCAAAAGTTTAGTAATTTTAATTACATAATTTTTAAAGACAAATCTAAACATTACCGGTGTTACAGAATTCATACAGGTTTGATTATTCCCTTCCATGCAAATTTAAGTATTTCTTTCTTAGTATGTAACAAAGCAGACAAATGAGTAAATTCTGTTGAATACATCAGGTTTTGTCATTTGCTTTGCTTTTAGCTTCTCTTTTTTAAATTACCAAGCCATTTGAAAGATTCAACTGCTTTCCTTCTTTTCCTCTCCTCTTCCCCTGCCTCTACTTCCTCAAGAAGACAGGCTTATAGTTTTGGAATTTCTGCATCACAGGTGATTCAACTTCTAAAACAGATGGACTATGCAGACACAATCATAAGGAAGTTGCTAAGAAATCAATTTTTTTTCAAAAAGCTTCACTAGTAATCCCTGCATATACTTATATATAAAGTGTACTTCAGTGCACAGTTGACAGCATTTCTCCAGTTATTTATTGTGATTAGAACTGCTTAATACTTCTGTGATTAAATATCTACCTTACCCAGCACCATCTAAAAAGTCTTTAAATTCTTCACAATTAAACATATTTAAAAATTTTTCAGTGAGTTACTTTTATAGAAAATATTACACTTTAAGACACTGCATTTATATGAAACATTTTTACCATAAACCCATATATACAAATTTTCTCCTGAAGTCCCTACTCAGTGGCCTAGGCCCTTTTTAATTCAATCATTTTTAGAAATAAATTCTATTATAGAAAGGTTTCACAGTTCTCAAAGACAATTCCAGTTTACACATAGTCACAATAACTTTTAAGCATAATTTCTTAGGAACAAACATGCCCTTTTGAAAAAGCACTTCTATTATAATACTAAATAGAACCCAAGAAACACATGTGTTTAGTTTTTCTTCTCTCTGCCTCCTACTCCCCAAAAAGCAGCAAATTTAAATTATAACATGACTTTCCATTAGTCAGAACCATGTAGTATCACAGTGCAGTGTTTGGAAAAGTCAGTTCCATTAGAGTATGTACATACTGTTTGTCTTTGTAATGCATCATAAACATCTCCACATCTATTCATCCTTAATGCAGACCATATCCTTGGGTTTGCTGAGGCTCTTCACATCATCCAGTAGTCTTTTAGGTGTCAAAATATGAGTAGAACCTGACAAAAGAACGTAAGCATTATCTGTGTCAGTCAAACTCTGACTTTCAGACATTCCCTTTCTAAAACATCAGTGAAGTGCTGGTGTGTTTTTACTGTGCCTGGAAAACTGACACGTACAACAATTCAAAGCATGTTCATATAAAACACCATCCTATAAATGTGTCCCCATTAGGTAGGACATGTCCCTGTCCCACACACACATCCAGATCAGGACTTGTATTTGTAATACAAGATTTGAGTCCCACTCTGCTCTGTTTGAAACACAGGCTTGAACCTGGGCAGGTTATGCTGTGCACAGCTGTGCCAGCCTGCAAGAAATCTGCCTGGTGAATGGCAGGCTTTATCCTAGAATCAACAAAGTACCTGGATTAAAGGTCATCACAAATGGTAGTTTTCCACAGAAATATCAGTTACAAAAAATTGGCTTTTACTGACTAACATTTCTGTGAAAAAATTTACAGCAAATTCCAAGTATCCTTAGCATTCTTCAGGAGCGCACAACTATCTCTCTTATTCTCATAGAGTGTGATTATAACTTCTGCCAGGAAGGGTCACTCTACAGTTCTAAAGGCAGTGATTAACTGTTTAAGATTACAGCTGTCTGGTACTTCTGGGTTTAGCAGTGTCACTCTGAATGGGCTAGTATTCCTGGAGTTCTGAATCAGGAATGCAGCAAAATTTTAATCCTGCAGTAAGCCACATGGAAATCTGGCAAAATTTACCTTCCCTCAAAAATCAGGATTACAAACAAAACTACAAGAATCATCTCTAAACAAAAGGGAAGATGGTGCTGTGGTTAGTGCCAGGTACCACAGTGAAAGAGTAACCACTAAACGTAGTTTTTAAACAAGTCTCAGATGAAGAAACAGTCTGGTTAATCTACATTTCTGTTATCCTGGTCTTTCTGGTGCAACTCAAAACTAGAACCTACATTAGACCTACCTCAACCACCATCAAAGGAAAATTAACCAGAAAAACCAACCACACACACAAACACACCTACAACACCCCTATTTAGAGGTAACAGACTCTAGATCTCAGAATTAATGTCATTATTTCAGGAAAGGTATTACTTAAAATCATGGTAGATAAATTCAAGCCTTCCTAAAACTCAAGACTGAATTTAATTACCAGACAGACATTTCAAACAATTTAAAATGCTTTAGGTGACCCTGCACCCAAATATCAGCTGCCCCTGCAGATGGATGCAGGTCTCTGATAAGGTTCTGTCTTTAGAGCTCTGTTTTGATTTATCATACTACTTCCAAAAGCAGCAGGAGAAGCAAGTGTCACTAAAGCACAGGCAGATGGAAAAGGTGTGAGGAAGCTGTAATGCAAGGATATAGAGGTATGTTTAAATCTTTTTTGCTATACATTAACATATTTCTCTGACATAATTTAATGATGATTCTTCTGTAAAGTATAACTATTATTTTTTTGTCCTTAATACCCTGTTGGAAAAAAAAACAAACCCTAAACACCACACAGTCTGACCAAACTGAAAAGATGCTTTTAAGTGCAAAGCTTTAAGGAATACACTGGCTATAATATCAGTGTACTGCACCAACACAGGGAATGTATGAAAAACGACCCTTGCATTTTCCAGAAGCACATGCAGTGCAGTGCACACACCACCCTTCTCCCAGGGCAAGCTTACCAATAATAACTTCACAGGACTTGTAGGCTTCAGACACCTCGTAAGCACAGCGCATCTCCGAGTAGGTGACCCCTCCAATCACAAACACGATCAACCTCGCGCTGCTCTTGCGCTCCTCTCTGTAACTGGCCTTGGGTTTCTGGCGTGCACTGCAACACATTTCAGAAGATGACATTCATCCAGCTTCGTTTGTCACTGATTCACTTGTGGTTAAAACTACGTATTTAAAAAGCAGTACCAATTTCTGTCATGCAGTCCATGGTTTGACTGTAATTTCAGCGAAAGTGTTTAGATAAATTGATAATTTATCGATTATCAAAAGGGAGGTACTCCAAGTAAAGGCGTATACGACTAGAAGAATTATTAAAATAACCAAGTTCAGTATGTTTTAGACTAAATAAAAATATAGGTTCGAGACTTTAGCATTACTTTATGTACGTTATTTTACCATTTAGTAAGCACACTTCCATAACTCTTTAGAGTGTATATGACAAAAATACTGAGAAAAGGGTAAATTATTTTTCAGGAAGTAAAATTATTTACCTTACTGCTCCTGAACCATTCCAGGTGGGAGGACACCGGGAAGAGTAAGGCCAGTCTTTTGAATCTAGTTTGTTTTCTATAGCATCCTGAAGGGCAAAACAAAGACACACTTTAAACAGCCTTGTAGACCTAAAACCCAGCAAATTTCAGCTTTCAGTAAGGATGTCTAACCAGAATTTAATGCCAACACATGCATCTTAAAATAACCAGTTGCAAGTAGCATCTCATGAACAGCACTCCTATGTAACAAAATGCTAGACCACATAAATGCTAAAATGTATTCTTAGTCTTTTGTGTATCACAAGGAATTGGGAGTACGTGTTCTTTTTTATCAACACAATATTGATTTAACTGTTCAGATTTTACAAGCAGCTTTTCATCTGTAACAACCCTAAAGTATTTACTTTCTCTACAGCAGTGCACAAGAGAAGTCAGGGTCCACTAAAAACACAAACGAGGATGTGAAAGTCGCCAAAATCTATGAATTACAGCAACGGGTCAGATTAAAGGTCCAGTGAACTCACTACCCTGTCTGACATCAGTCACTAATTGATGCTTAGGAGGAGGTTTAAGAACAAAGGAACAATATTTCCAGCAAGAAACATCTTGCAACCTCTACCACATTACCGTTTAGATTTGAATTGCAATTTAAAAATCCATGGAAAAAAACCCAAACAAACAAAACAAATCTTTAAATTAGACTAAACACTGCCAGTCACAGGACAAGTTCTTCTAAAAGACTTCTTGCTTTCACTTTCATTTGCTTCACCTTTAAAATGACCTCTAACAAAGAGCATTACTAACACACAACAATCTAATGGTCTGTATTACTGACAGACTAAAAAAAAGATCACTTTTTCACCAGATGCATTTGACAACAGTAACTGGTGATGGTATGGATTGGCTGTAACTGCTCACTCAAGTAAATTCCTGCACTTCACCTATGAATTAATTAGTTGGTCAAATTTACCTCCATAATGTCTTTGATAACAGGTGTCCACCTAGAAAGTTGAAAGGTTTCTTCTGAAGAACGGTCCCTTCTTGGGTATTTAGGCTGCTGAACAGCAAACTGAAAA